TATATATATATATATAATAAACAATGATGCACTTACCAACTTATGAATTGCATGACATGTCCTCAGCGAAATCAATTCTGATCATATAAGAGAGAAAATCAATATCATGGAACGGATGATATTACTTTATTTGATGACGTACTTAAACAATGAATGATTTTGATTAAGGCCTGTAGTCACGCATACATACAGCGTCGTCATCGACGACTTCATGGATCATGTAAACAATCATTATGTAATGACATTTTACTATGGATATCAATGTCTCTGCTCCTAAAAAATGACATTGCCTCATGAAAAGGAGATAATGATTTGAAAAAGAATGTGACTCGGCCACGATTAAAATTTTTCAATATGATGATATTTACAACGTAGACAGCTCGTATTTTCGCTTGTACCAGGAAACCTCCCAAATGTCATCTGCCACACGAGTATTTTCTTTCCTAAAATCGACGTTACAATATAGTTCGAAGAAGATGATAAATAATCATCACGGAAAACGTACATCCTGACTTATGAAATTCGTTCTTCAGGATTAAGATACACATGCGCGTTGCGCGCGCTTCAACAGCATATTCGTGTAGTCCATAAGACATTCAGAAAGTTTAAGTATTCTTAATCGGAATGACGAGAGGGTAGTGTACTTAACGTTTACTCGAAGCATTAATTTATATAATAATCGGACGTCATTGTATATATGTACATACTATATATGCGAACGTAAACCCTGGTTAGTCCTCGAGTCCTTGACTGTTCTTAGACGATACCGCAACGGGCATACGAATAGATAAATAACTTTGACAAAAAAGTTCGTCCGAAAGTTTTGATAATTAATTTTCAAACAGATGATTAACCGCGTTATATTGCGCGAGATGTTCGAGCATCCAACGGGCGTGTTCTGTTTATCCCTCGAAAACTTGACGATGATGTATCGCTTAGCATTGCTAAACTATTCTACAACATCGTGCAAGTTCCACTTTTAGGATCTCGAATTATTGAAATGGAATTGATCAATGTCCGCTGAACTCTTAGCGGAAATGAAGTTTTCTTCTGAAAAAACACACGATAAAATTTGCCTAGATCATACTTAATCTGTACTCCTTCGACAAATCCATTTCTCGCCTTGATCATCGAATTCGTTAAGATCATCACGCTTGAAGAATTCTTTCACAGAACAAATATACTGACTTTAATTCTTAATAAGGTCTCCACACCTGTCTAGGCTTAGGACTTCTTTCTCTTCGTGATCTGATGGCTTCTCTTTCGACATCTATTCCATCCTCCTTTCTTCGTGTCGTCAGATCTTGACCAACGTTTTCCTTATCCTGGCCCTTCTTCGTGCTAAGATCAACCGTACCCTCTAGACGGATTTTTACAGTGAGATCACCGCGACGAGTAATCTGATCTTGATCAATTTGAAGATCCGAATCGTTTAAATTTTCTATACTTTGTCGTAGATGAATCGATGCTTCTTGAAAGGTGGCATCTGTAGACGCGGCATCTTCCAGATCGCTCCTGATCGGCGAGATTCTTGGAGAATCTTGCTCGGGTATTGACTCATCGCTTCTAATGCGGTCTCTATTTAGATCTTGATCGTTCTTATCATCCACTTCGATACTATCGTCAGGACTATCCAGTCCAGATCGACGTAAAGTGCCTTGATCGTCTCCTCTCCGTTCTTCGTCTTTCGTACTCTCGGGACTGTCGCTGCTGCTCCTAAGTTTCCTGAGTTCCTCCAATCGAGCCTGATCCGGCCTCTGCAGTCGTTGTTGAGCCATTCTCAAGGCCAAAGCGTGCCATTCCGGCTCCAGGATGTACTGTTGCGTGTGATACAAAGGGTTATAAAGCCAAGAGGACTGTGGTAACAATGGCGCGAATATCGATCCGAAGATAGATCCCGTGGCACCCAGCAGATGTAGACCTGTGTTACAAACAAGGTATCAGGTTCTTCGGGTCATGTATGAAGATTCGAATCGTTGGCTTTAATCTCGGATTATGTGTATCTCTTTTACCTTGAAAGTGTGAGTGATGTCCAGACGGGCTCGTAGTAGTAGTGGTCGACTCGGCGGGAGGCGTCGGTGCCGTCACGGAAGCCGTCGTCAACAAGCCCGGTCCAGGGTTGCCGGGTGACGTTGTCGGCGTTACTTCCCTCACGGACACACTGATAGGACCCAAGTCATTCCTCGAAGATTCTTATAGACATATCAATTACATGCCTATTAATCATTTAATCTCGCTTAAGAAAACGCTGAATGTTATTTAAATAAAATATTCTCTTGTATAATTTTAATTTTCTTTGAGATTTTTATCCTTTATAATGAAAATATTTACCGGCATTAGGTCCAGGTAGCCTCGGAGATCTCTGTTCGATGGCATGATGGAAAGGGTTGAAGGCTGATGCACCAACCGGCTGTGGATGTGTGTGCGGGTGATGACCGGGAGGCGGTGGAAGACAGTGCGGTGGTAGAGATCCTCGGGGTAACCCACCCCATCCCTGGCCCGCTCCTTGCTCCAGACCCAGGTGTTGCAATCCTATGCAATCAAAGAAATGCAGATTACACGTTTTCAAAGAATCTGTTTATTTAGCGTCTCCGCTGTCGTCACGTCACCTCACGTGACTTCTATATCGTTTAAAAGAAATATTTATAATGAAAGACACATTTACTTTACATGTGTTGCTTACATGTTACTTATGTAATTTATATACAGCTACAAAATTAAAATAATGTAAAAATATTTAGATTTAGAATTTTAATAGTTATTTAAACAGAAAATTGATATTATAAAATAAAATACGATTTTTCAGAACAGAATAACGCAATGTACAGACAACAGTATCTGAAAGTGACTGATATGATTGTTTTGTGACAAGACGTAACATATTTCTGGGAATCACGGTGGCGTTGTATAATTTTTGGCAGGTAAACGGTGATCGACTGACAGTTCGAGTCGTAGAAACGCATCCCTTTGACGTAGAGGCGGTTTTGACGTGGATGGACAGTTAAATTTATCCAACAGAGAATGCAGAGACGATCGATCATCTTTTTTTCGATAATAGCCAATATCGCGTGGCCGCCCAAGCATGTGTTTGAATGCAATTAAATTTATGACATCAAAAAATTCGTTCAAGGGTGATCGGTTGGACAAACCGACTGACATAAGTTGCATCACTGCTTTACTGTATATTTATTTATAAAACAACAAATTCATTTTTATTATTTTTTTTAAAAACAACACATGCCTCTTTTCTTCTTCTACAAAGATCTTCTACAACAACATCTTTCGATAATTATATTATCGAAAGATTACGAGAAGAAAATTCTTTTTGATTTACATAATGAGTAAGTGACGTAATATTGATTTTCGGCACATCGCGGTGTAAGAAGAACGGTGCAAGAAGTAAGCACCGTGGTCATCAACGTGGTATCGGTTTTTCGAAAGACCTTGATCAATAACAGATTATGCCGTCATCTGTGCGGGGCAGTTTAAAAATTCCGTGAAGGCTGCCGCGAAGCCACCGACGGGGGGAGGGGTAGGAGTTCCGGCGGGGTGGCAAACAGGGGAAGCTTGCTTTGACGGAGCGGGGAGAATTGTCCGGTCACTGGCACGAGGGCGTGACCATCAAGACACGCAGATCCTCCCATTGGTTGCTTGTACGCTCCCACCAGTCGCACGGCGATGAGTGGTGGGATGTGAAAAAGCTCGGTAGGGGTCGAAGGGATGATTTTTAAGCTCTCTTTAAGCCGCGCGCGCTCGCCAGGGAGGACACCGCTATCTCGCGTCGTACCACACCAGCGTGGCACACTGAACGGACTAGCCGTGTGAGAGCTCGTAGCCCTCCTACTTTATGAGGGGGATTAAGAAAACGATAAGAGATGCGCGAAAGCACCGCTGCCACCGAGCTTACGGGAGCCAACGGATGGCTGCTGTTGGCAGGAGCATGAATAAGAACCGCTTTGGTAAGCTCTTCAGACACCCGGATTCTTAGATGACAGATGCATCGCGACAACTTTATTCGATAATTGACAATGAGTCAGTTTTTCATTATGTTAATTAAATTTGGAGCTTACAGATAACCTTTCACCAATTATTATTGATATAGTTTGATTCTAAATACTTAAGGTTGAATCATTATTTATGTTGCAATGATGGAATATTTGTGTGAGAAAAAAATTATATAGGGAAACACAATTTAATAATTGTAATAATTGTTATAGTTTTTATATATAATTATTAAGATATACATACAAATTTGTTTCTGAAAAAAAATTTAATTAATATTCAAAGAATATTTAGTAATTTTTCTTTATCTACAATCTTATCAGTTTTACAGTGAAGTAAAAACATTTGATACGACATGTATCCTTTTTAGAACGGTTGTAACATATTTTCAATTTAATAAACCTCGAAAATGCCGTACACCCTCTTTCGACGGAACTCGCGTGCCGGGTTGGGTTCGGCTGGCGGGCGATAATTCCGAAAACAAATGAAGACTAATGAGGGGTGGGTCCCTGCGAGATCTGGGAAAGAGTGAGAGCGAGGGAGACAGAGTGCGAGAGACGCGAGCTTGAAAGGGTTCAAGGAGCCGCTGCTACCCTTTAAGGGGTGAGAAATGTTAAGCTTAAACGTTACGGCCCTAGGGTTAGTTGCCTTTGCGTGTGCCTTCCATCGGGGGCTTTAAGGGATGATGTATTATCGAGCAGCGTGCTCAAAATGTGCTACGTACTTTGGTCGCGCCGTTCCCGAGATGCGGTAATGTGACGTCACGTGTAATACGAGCTTTTAAGCGTAGCTTTATATACGTTTCGCCGCCGAGCCACCCGCGGGGTGAATTAAATTTGGTCACGTCGATTAGAACTCGTTGACGCGACGCGATTTCGAATTTCGACTATACACTTTTTATTTGCAGTTATTACACATATTGATACAATATCGTAACAGTTTCTTCAAACCTAAAAATAAATCACATGTTTATGAAGTTAACTGTGTTCTATGAAGTTAAGACGTTTTCAATATCTTAAATTTTACGCGTGAGTTTGCAGCGACGAAACTTAAGAAACGCTTTAAAGACACTGATTCGAAGCCTGTCACGCAGCTTGCGAACAAAGGAAGAAGTCCTTCAAGTTCTTCGCCTTAAACCTCCTTGATCTCACCACTCTGAGATACATAATAAATTAATTCGCGTATTTTCCTGTCTGTCTTATCTATTCAAATCTATGCAAAACAGCGTTAAAAACGCCCTTCTTGCTGCTAAGGCGTTAACCCTTGCGGAGCTCGATCTCCCCCTCTTTCCATAGCCTCTTTACTTCCTCTGTTACTCTCTCCGACTCGTTCGTCGTTCCTCTTTCTACCCCGCGTTCTATCCTCTAGCTACTGCTGGTTGGATGTCTTTGCACACCCACCCTTTGCGCCCGTTCTCATTATCGCGTCGCAGCAACCCCTAAAATGCCACCCTGGAAAGGTCCCTGGCACCGATCTAAGCTCTACGAGGAGATATTTCGAGAAAGGACGAGAAAATTGCTATCTCTCTCTTCCTTTTACTCTATCTTTATCCCACTTCCACGAAATTTTCTCTTTGAAGTCGAGAAAGAGTGCAAAAATGACGGATCTTTTAAGAAATTGGCAATGTTCAGCGATGCATAAATTTTTATTCTCACCATTTATTATGTTCACGATTATATAAATATTGTAAATAACTTTAATTTTAACATTATATTGTTATCATTAATTGTATAATAACTGATTCAATGAATATGTTAGAAATTGATCATGTTGAACAAAAAAAAAAATATTATCAAACATGACACAACGCATGATATTTTTGTCATTTAATAAAAAATTTATTAAGTATACACATAAATTTTTATATTATTAATTATTAACAGTGTTCAGAATAGTTAATATTAAGTTTAATAACTGCATATATCAGTCTGATTATGTAACTTCATATAAATGTAGGACGCTATTAGAGAGAAACCGGGTTGAGATAAATCGATTTCAAGGATATCGCGAGACGCTATCAAATTTCTATCTCTTAGGCTCGCTGAATTTTCAATGATAGGAAAGGAGACGAGAGATGAGACTGAGACTAGAGAGAGCGTCATTAGTTACCGTCGCTTCCAGAGAAAGATCCCGGTCGCTGGACCTGATTAAAAGACGGAACACCCCGAGACGCCCTTGCAAGACGCATTGGGGAGGTGAAATGTGACGCGAATTTAAAGGATCCGCAGTGATTCGACACGGGGGTGTGGACAGGAACAACCCTTAAAAAGGTTCCCTTTAAGGACCACACGCCCGAAGGGTTGTCGCCACGTTCGTTCGGTTTTCTGTACACGTGAAAGAGCCCTTTAAACGCGTCGCATCGTAAATCAGATGCGACGGTATCCAAGTTCGGAAGAGGAATATAATCTGACGATCGTAGCAGACCACGATAGGACTTGTGCGATTAGACCAATCTAGCAGTCAACAAGATTTATGATACTCTCATTTAGAGTTATAACAGTAGTTTTATGATAGTAGCGATATATATTTATATTTATATAAAATAAATCTCAACGATATATAAAATATAGAATAAAAATCTACACTTGTCATAACGATTGGTCACAATTATAAGTTCGGTAAGAAGGGAGATCCGCTTTAAAGAAAGTCGCGAATTTATTGCAAAACGATCCGAGAAACGAAGCGACAGTTTTAAACTGAGCGTTCTTAACAATCTCCCCCAAATGAGGTAAAGGCCACCTTATTGAAACAGGGGTCGCGATTTTTCCGGTTCTCTCTCTCCTCAACCCCTCTGCCACCCTGCCTCTCCCTCGTAGGCGGTTAATTGACACGGGAGAGCGGAAAGAGGGAGGGCAGATTGGGGCTGCACGAGCTGTTCTTGTTAACTCGAATCTTGGCACCTCGCGATTTTTCATCCCCTTAGCTAGACTGACAAAGACGACGGCCTCGGCCCTTCGGGACGTGCGCGATCGGGGTGTTTTCATTCGTGGACAATCTCAGCTACGATCAGTGTGGTATCTGTTACGGATACATTAATTTTCTTTGAACTTGCTAGCAATTGCTTCTGAATGTATTGCTTCTGAATGTATTGCATCTGAATGTATTGCAGAGCTCTTAAAAATTATTATAATATGTAGCGAGATCCGAAATAATTCTTTCAGATTTTTTAAATTATAAGATTTTATAATCTGGAATTTTAATTCATGCATATTATAATTAATACAAGTAATTTTTAGTAAAAATAAGAAAAATATTATAGATATCAGAGGAAATGCTTTTGTCGCGTAAATTGTGTCTTATAAAGTTTTTATAAAAAAACTTTTGTTTGTTTAAAACAGTAAATGTTGCAGTTAAGTTAAATAAAAATATTTTCTTATAGAATAAATTTAATTTAATTTTATAATATCCATTATCGTTTTTTACTATCTTATTTCGTTTTAAAAAATTTACGAGCCTTATCTTTTCTTATTAAAACAAATATACTTGTGCAATCTCAATCTAAAATTAATTACACTGAAGATTGTATCATTCGATATATTGAGATTGACGAAAGAGATGAAATTAGAAGCGATCGGAGATCGCAAGAAAGAAAAGGCGCACGGTCTGTCCGTCGGACTTCGGCGTTCTCATGAAGCCCTTAGGGAGCCCATAAAATTCATCCCTGCTGTCGAGGTAGGCCCGAACGAAATTTAATAACATCCCCCTAGTTACACCTCAATGGGCACCTTAACAACCCTGCACGGCCAGCTACTCGTCTCACACCCTCAATAGTGCTCTTCCTTTTCTCCTTATCAACCCTCCTGGCATAGATATCTAATAAACCACCTCTTGAACACCCTTATCTTGTCAGCAATACCCAGCGGCTGGGCAGCTTTGAAAGTTCGAAAGGTGCTTGACTGACCGACCCTCTGCTGGACTGGATAGAGGCGCAACCTGTGAGCCGACTGGCGAACCCGGAGCGAAAGGGTTGAAAAAACTCACGAGTATATCACTCGAAATAAACCGATCGATATTCGTTGAGCGCCGTTTGTACCCTAGCCGAAACAATGTAGGTGACCCAATTGTATGAATTGTGCAATTAATTCGGGGCGGCGTGCTAAAATGGTATGTCAATAATTATTATAATTTACATTATATAATCTCTAATGTGTTGATATTCTTTAACATTGACAAAATGCTCTGACTGATTTCAGTGAAAAGTTAATCTTGTTAAAATTTTCATTTTTATGTGATTTTTCCTTTTTTTTTATACCATATTAAAAATGAGATCATGCGTAGTTTCTGAGATTTATTTTAAAAATGTTGTAATTTCTGTGATTATTTAGTCAAAGCCAATGATTTAAGAAATTACATTAGAATAATCTGTGGATCGAATCGCGACGGCAAGAGGCGCAAAGAGAAGAAAAGTTAAAGCTCCGGCATACTACCGGGCGCGGCAGTGGCTGATTCTTGATTGAGCAGACCGGGGTTGCGGGGGTTGGAAGGGAGTAACAGCGAGAAATCGACGGCAGGACTGCCATCCCGTAGTACGCCTCGGGGATAGGAGGGAGCGAAGCTCCGTTAAGCCGCTTATCATGCCGAAACAATACACTGTCGGTGCACCAGTATCAGTACCCGACCCTCACTGCTCCGGGCTAGTCCCATCAAAATTTGGAGCTTCGAACGAGTTTCAATGGAATTCGTGCCACCCGACTGTCCTGTCGAACCGGCCGGATACCTGAAAACTTTTTCGAAAACGTTGGCGACGGTGAAATTGTTTAAACCATCGTTCATATTACAGCGCACGCATTACTATTCCAAAGAAAAAGTCTGATTGATTGTACGCTAAAAATAATTTCGAGTGATATTTCGCAATTTATTTAATGAAATTTTTGCATTTATTAAAAAATTTTTTTACGAATAGTACTACAAATATCATAATATTGCGATATTAAAAGTAAAAAAAGAATTATTAGATTTAACTTGATCGCTTAAGGAAAGATATTTTACCGCGCCGTAAGCCACTCGATGGCAAAGTTAACGGAGCCAAAGTTTATTCGTGACTTCTCTACGAGCGCGAGAACCGAGCGACTTCCTCGAAACGGAAAAGGCAGAGTTCATGCTCGGGGCTTAATCAGAGTCTTCTTCACTTAGAGGCCGGTGGCAAAACTCAATTTTGAGTCGGTGCCTGTCGACGCTCAATTTTGACACCCTTCGCAGCCACGAAGCTAGCGCGCGAGAAGAGGGCGTCGACCCTGGCCCGCCGAAGTTGCCGCAGTTACTCTCCTCCCGGGAGGGGTACGGCATCGGGGTTGTAAACTTAGTTATCTATCAGGGAGACGTGCCGAGAGGCTGAAGGTGAGCCTCACCGGAACCCAGGTACCCGCTCAAATTCGTTGCGACGAAGATGACGGAGGCTGCGCGTGTCTTTGATTAGAGAGCATCGACTTACCCGACAGTTTGAATCCCAATGGGTCCTGCGGATGTCCGAAGGGGAATGGACGAGGTCCGAAGTGAAAGGGATGAAAGGCCTGATGTCCTGCAACGTGGGATGAATTCATGAATTGTCATCGTTGCGACTCGACGGCAAGTTCCGATAACTCGCGGTTATCCGAATAACATTTACCAGTTTGCTCTTATTAATTAAGATTTTTAACTAATTTCTCTCAAACATAAGATAAATTTTAATAAAAAGCTATTATCTTCGGTAGGTAAAGTTGTACTCACTTGTCTTCGACCGCGGTTCTCTTGGACCGTCCACAGTCACCTTGATCGCCTTCGACAAGGTGGCCACTTGCGGCGGTGATGTTTGCAGCATGATCGTCAGGGTGAAACTTTTCCCTGAAACGAAAACGAGCATGTCGAGAGGTATGAGAAGAAAGAATTATCTCCTGGCGGTAAAACGAGAAACGAGTTTTTCCCAATGGAACGATATAGCATATCGTGTTTTGGCTCCGTTGCCAGACCAAAAACCATAAAGACGGTTGATTCCGCACTCCTCGGTTTGCGTAGGCTCTATTATTCATATCCAATTCGCCGACCACGAAAAGAAATTCTCACTATGTACAAACTCATGAATTGCATTTACTTTTTCGATCTATGTCCTGCATTATTTGGACATTTATTTGATTAAGAGTACATTTGCGTGTCGAGGTGAAACGAATCCATTAAATATAAAAAGTAACAACAACATAAATTAAACAAATGTTATAATTTGCTACTCAGTAATGTAACTCTTATGTATAACATGTGTTAAATTATATTTATATTATTGACTGGGAAAATTATGATATTGTAATGTAATATTATTTCTATACAATGCAGATTATTGCAGCATGCAATGTTTCAGTAATATTGCATTAATATTGGAAGTATTGTAGCAATATTGACGCAAGCTTCTGAACTATATGGGATTGTTATTTTAGCAGAGATACGCTTTACAAGCATTTACGTAATGATGACTGCCACTTTATGTGTTAATCGAATTGACGTTCTGACGTTAATCGAATAGCTGCAGCTATCGCAATTGATTGGATTGAAATTTCTTGGTGGATTTAATCCGTAATATCGCAAAGGATATGTGCTTGATGGCATGCACGGGCAAAATGACAATGTACGCGTGGTGCGCTCGCTGGAAACAAAACACAAATGTGCCGGAAGTAAGGGGTGAACGAGTGACGCCACTGCGTCGATGTTTGTTCCCGCATAGGCTGGAATATGTTAATATTGTCGGCGCTAAACGCGACCCTCTGATATTCGCAGTTCTCCGTCACGCGCGATTTCGTTGTTTTATCTTTCAACAACATTCGGTAGTTCAATAGATGAGATATCCTCCCCTCGTAATTTCAAAACGATAATTTGTCTGATATAACATCTTGAAATATTGCTTTTAACAAAATATATTTATAATAATGAAGTAATTGTACTTTCTTGCGAGTATTGTTATTTTGTACTTCCCAGATAATAAGCAAATGTTA